CCTGCTGAACAATAATGATACAGTGATAGAATAACTTTGATAACATACCTGTTCAGTAATTTTTTTTCAAAAGAAGGCTAAACTAAAGATTGATTTGCCGGTAAAACATGAGAGAAACACTGAATAATTGTAAGTCAGCTTTTATTTTATTTTCTGTGTTTGTTCCAGAGCAAACTATTGGGTTGATTACATACAAAAAAACAACAAGCTATATGAATACACGCTTTTCGGTCACAGTTCTATTCTTGTTACTACGCATTTTAATCAAAAGTTTCACTTAATACATCGATCAAAGATTATATGATCAAAGAATAATCTTTATCAGCATCATGCTTCAATTCATTTGTATTAATCTTTGCAGAATAGAAGCCATTAAGCGGTAGGATAACCTTGAGTTACAGGGAAAATGAATATTCGTGAGGAAAGATCTAAACATGTATTTTAATTATTTCATAACGAAGCGAATGGCTTAGTTAGTTGAGGCAGATCAAATGGGAAATGAATAAATACTCGCCAGAACGACTATTCACTTTTTTGTTCATCCTGCAAAAGAAAGACATCGATTTGCTCAATAGAGCAAAGATGACATCAAAAGGAGATATTTAGTTACCAATCGATGTATTCGTCTATCGACCAGATATTGAAGTAAAGTTTGTCTGTACAGAAAAAAACCAAGAAGATTGCATGACATTCGAATTACTATCATCACGACTTGGTTCCTATATTCTCATAATCTGATGGAGGAATTTTTGACTTGAAAACTAGTTTAAGACCACGGATCAAATGATTGTTGCTAACGACAGTGACCAACATTTCGATCTATTAGTTGGCTCCCTTTTTACTAAGAAATGTAAAGCAGTCAATGGAGAATACATTACATACCTCTTGAACTATCATTACATTTTTTACAAGAATTCTATTCAAAAAAACTTCATTTCACATAGACTAAACTTTTCTGAATAATTACTTTTTTGCAGTCTACACGAAAACTTAATTATTTTTAGCATGGTTTCATTTCTGTATGCTGTTTGTTTCCGTCAGAAGTAAATAGTTTATATCTGCACCAAGACTGCGTAGAGAATGAAGAATCGTGACGACCTTTATGGCTTATTCTTTTATCTTCATTTCTCGGAGACAAGTTTCTTGTGCTTTAGTTAGATGTATGAAAACGATGCAGAAAATGAATAGTCACAACAAGAGCTCTATTCATCTATTCTACTGTCTTTTAAGCAATGCTTCGAATGGGAGATATTTCGAAGCTCAAAGTACCAATAAATAGTCCCCACGTAGTTCTTTGTCAGAATATGGTGAGTTGTATTTTGGTGTGATGGATTGTGGCACTTCTAAACAAAGAATTTTATTCTTCACATTAGTTTGAGCAAAACATATTCACTTGCTGTACTGATTTAGTGGAAATTTAAAACGATAGAAACTGACTATATGAACTTGAATTTCAAATAATAATTATTAGCTGATCGAAGAATTCTGTTCTCTTATAGATAGAAGGCGCTTAGCAACGACATGACTCAGACTTTCATCTATCTTCTTCCACTCTATAGCAAATCTAGTTAGTTTCTTCTACATCTTGCTTCCGAAAAAAGTCAGTTTCAAAGTTTCTACAATAAATAAGTGAGAGACGATGAAAAGCAACGAAGTTAGACCTATCTGATTAACACACAATGTGACCTCTCAAGCATCGATGCTTCAAACTAATGTTTTAGTAGAGTCTCTGATGTTCTAAGCAAAATTTTTCTCTAAAAAATTTCATATCTTCAAAAAAAATAGAGGTAACTTGCCATTTTCCGAGATTGCTTGTACAAATGGTTTTGGTGTAACATCGGATAATGGATAATTCTCTTGCTTTTTGTTTAAGATTGGTTTTGATTGTGGTAAAGTTTCCTTTAACTGAGTAAGATCAAAAGGTTCAGCAACCATTTGATATGGTGGCGCAATCTCACGAAGGTGGATAATGTGTAAACCTTCAGCTGGATTCAAGCAATCAATCACTTTAAGATAAACACCTGGAGGAAGAAGAATTTCATCTTCATTTTCAAAATATGAATGTGCACGAATGTCTTTTCCGCTGTTAGTTTGAATGGAGAACATCGTTCTTGCACCTGATTTTCCCAAATAATTTGGTGATTCAAGGGCACTCATTGAAGCAGTGCAAGAACTGAATGCCCACCATGCGAATTCATTACCCTTTGGATAAAGGGCACTGAGATCCTCCCGTACACCACGCCAAACAAGTGTGTGTTCGCTTCGTCTAATACACGAAAAAAATCAAAACATTAAATGTAAAATCATTTTTTTTTACTTACGGCAATTTGAAAAAAGCTGTAAGGAACAGCTTTAAATATTTGAACCACGGCTGAAGTTTTGTACGATCAGCCAAACGAAGAGTTCGATTCAATACCATGTAAAGACTGTCTTCATGCACATCCCATTCTATAGTATATAGGTGGATGGTCGCTGACTCATCTGAATTAAGTCCATCCTCAGGCTGGGTTGAATTCATTTTGGCAATAGTAATATACTGTTGTAGCTTTTGATCAAACATATGTTTTATTGGCTCACAAGCTTCGTCAAGAGTTTTTACATTGACTTTCTCATAGCCAGATATGGGAAGCAGCATTTTCTTTGGTTCATCCCGAACACTTTCCAATAAGCGACGATTCACATTCACAGATGTCGCCATATATGTGTGCGTGTCTTATCTAGAATCTGACAAAATTCAAATGCTTTCTTCTGCTACACAACAAAAATAAATTAAAATCATTGAATTATGTAAACAAATGGTGAAACAACATTGATGGAATCAAGGTTTCACTTATTCTTTCTTTTTCTCTTCTAGAAGTGAGATATGGATGTGAATGTGAATGAAGACAGGACCCAAAACCCACAACAAAAGAAGGTTTTACGTTGAAGAAATACATTACTACCAGATGCAATCACAGTTTTGATCATAATTCTCAGTAGAGATGCTTGATATACTATTTTATATTCTTAATTGTAATTATTGACGAAAAAACAAAAGAGATGAGGCAGGATGAATGACAGTCCTAGCAGTTTTATCAATATCTGAATATATTCTCGTTACTTCGAAACAATACTTTCTAGAAAAACACTCATCGTTGCATTCTCTACAAGATCATGTATTTCTTTTAATGAAAACATACTCTACAGTTTTTTGCTACACACCAACTGATAACTTGAAAATATACAACTTTTCTGTTTTATTACGAAATTTTAATATGACAGCTATTGTTCATGGGATATTAATGTTGACTTTCATTTTCTGTTAATCTGAATTTGAGAATT